ACTGTTCTCTCATTAACTCAGACTGCGCTGCAGCAAAGCACCTGTGTTGAATAACACCTCAGTGCTCTGACAGGATTAGTTTAGTAACCTGGATTTAAAAAAGAAGGTGTCTTTCCTCTAAAATAAAGCCAGATATGAGTCTGAGAGCACCTGCTCAGTGCTTCCCTCATTCCGAGGACCTTTATCAGCCTTGTATTCACCTCCCATACGGGGACCCTGCTCACCTGGCTGTACCAGGGAAGTTGGCCTCTGAAAAGAGCTTCCTTGGGCTTGAAAAAAAAACATGGTGCATGAGTAGCTGTGCTGGAGGTAAAAGGGGGTCATGGGTTGTAAGGACTCTGGAGTCCATGGTTCAAAAGCACAGGGTAGGGGGAGGGGAAATGGTTGAACGAGTGGGAATCATACCCCAGTGCTCACTGACTGTTCTCTCCTTCTTCGCTATTGGAAAGGTCTTTGATCTTTGCATTTCCTGCAAAAAGCAGTGCTGTCAACATTTATCCAGCGTGGCATTTAATGGATTGGGTCTCTTGAAATAGGTGAAAAAATTCCTGTATTATGGTTGTGGCTTCTAAGGAGCTGATTTGATAGTAGTTTGTCATTGCTGAGAGAGAAAGAAACATTCAGACACTGACAGTGGTTCCACTGGACAGAACTATGTTTTAACTATGTGATGATACTTCAGAAGTAAGAGGTACAGATGCAGACTGCTTGTGTGTCATTGGAGCTCCAGATTTCATTTATCCTTGTAATTGCTGGAAATGTGGATCCAGTCACTTCCACAGAGCTGGAATGTGCACCCCAGAGTTTGGCTAGCAGTGAGTGACAGGCAGTGTCACTTGAGTGTGCTTCCTATGGGAGGCTGAAGTTGCTGAAGCTACTTTAGATTTGAGAATTGCTGTCTTAGGCTTAATCTTCCAAGTAATTCTGTGAGTATGAGCTTGATGTCTGCTACTTGCTACTGATCTCTTTGTCTTTCCTCTGTACTGCACTGATTTGTGAGAATTATTTACAGGATGTGGACATTTAGAATCTTCTCTAGTGGTGATCCTTTTAAGTCTCAACAGGCCATTAACTTTACTTGGCAGTAAGACTTCACACATCTGTTGGTTCAACTGTTCACCTGGAATTTGGAAATATTGGGTAGAATCTGCATGAGGTTTGACCTTAGCTTTAGGTTTTGCTTTCAATCGCTGAAAATAATTTTATAAAAGTGAAGCAGGAGTTAAAATAGTGAAATGCTGCTGTAGAATTTTAATTAACTCAGTCATTCAAGGCTGAAAAACAGTAAGCCACATCTAAATGCAGTGTTAAAACCACTGCAGTTCTACATTTATTGTTATGACAGATCTAGTAACACTCTATTTTTATTGTTCCTTTATTTTCAACAAATACAGAATCTATATGGTCAAAGCAAATGTCTGTCTTGCAGATGGCATAAATAACAACACTGCCTTTGTATATACAGAAATACAGCTTGAATTGCTTCAGTGCAACAATATGCTTTATGCTCTGCAACTTGCAGGTGCAGATCTTTAATGGAAGAAAGATGAAATATTTTTTAGAGATGTTCATGGGGTGTAAATTCTTGTGTAGCATGGCCCCAGCATGGACCCTACCCATGTCCACCCAGGTCAGATCTGTGTGTTGATTGTATGTTTGTTTTGTAAAGAATCTTTTGTAAGCCTGGTCTAATAGTCAGAAATCTTCTACATGCAGATATATCATCATCACCTTTCTAGAAATGGAACAATGTAAAGGGCCATAAAATGGTTTGGGTTGGGAGGGACCTTTATCATCCAGTTCCACCCCCCTGCTAGATCAGGCTGCTCAGAGCCCCATCCAGCCTGTCTGTGAACACTTGTAGGGATGAGGCACTCCTCAAATTCCCTGGCTAACCTGTGCCAGTGCCTCACTACCCCCAGGTAAAGAATTTCTTCCATATATCTAGTCTGAATTTCCCCTTTCAGTGTGAGCCCATTACTCCTCGTCATGCCACTACAGTTCCTGATGAGCAGTTGCTGTCTGGTTTCCTTGTAGGCCCTTCAGGTGCTGCTGTGAGGTGTCCGTGCAACTTTCCCTGCTGCAGGCTGAGCAGCCCCAGCTCTGTCAGCCTGTCTCTGTAGGAGAGGACGCCAGTGCCCTGATCAGCTTCATGGCCCTGCTCTGCACTTGCCCCAACAGTTCCGTGTCCTCCTTACACTGTGGGCACCAGGAATGTCCCCAGCACTTGGCTGGGGGCTCATGAGGGCAGAATGGAGGAGCAGAATCCCCTCCCCTGAGCTGCTGGTCACGCTCCCCTTGGTGCAGCCCAGGACACATTTGGCTTTCTGGGCTGCCAGCTCTTGGTGAGGTTTTTATCAGCCATCACCCCCAAGTGCTACTCCTCAGGGCTGCTCTCAGTCACTGCTCTGCACAGCCTGAGGGTGTGTTTGGCATTGTAACAGCTCAGGTGTAGGACCTTGCACTTTGCTTTATTGAACTTCAGCAGGGTCACACAGCCCCACCTCTCAAGCTGTCAGTGTCCCTCAGGATGGCGTCTTTCGTCCAACATGTTGTCACCAGCACACAGCTTGTTGTCACCAGCAACTTGCTGAGGTGCTCTCCATCCCACCTTCAGCAAGATGGAGTGACTTGGGGTGAAAGGGTCAGTGTTTCACTATGTTTTTTAAATTACAGCTAACAGTTGAAATTACAATTTCAAATATCTGTTGGCCAAAATACCAGCCTGAGAAGACTTCTGTGCTAAAATAATTGTAGGATGATTTTGTGAATTGTAGCCTTAATTAGCAGTCTGCATTTGCCTTTTTAGGTGCTTATGCAGTTGAGGGTCTGCAACTTGTTTTCCTAAGCCACTGGTGTACTGTGTCACGCTTTGGCAAAGTAGCAGCATGGAACTTTGAGGACTTCTCCCAAGCAGTGGATAGATGTGCTTGCCACCTGAGTAGTTGCTCTTATTTCTTCTGAGGAAAAGACTGTAAGGTGTTTCTGCATTTGCCTGGGAATAGTGTGTATGTTAATTTGAAAGCCTTGAACTGTGTAATTAATGTGGCTATTGATTTTGTGAGGTGTAATAAATAATTGGCTTGGTGCACTCCAGAGTAACTTTTATGAGGGTAAAATTAAGCAACTTTGTAGAAGACCTTTGGTCTCTTAATTGTACCTTAAATATGTTTCCATGCTGAGAGGAGCTTTTTGTAAAATGTAGAATTGCACTAGTGGTTATTATAAAGTTTATTTGGAGCGTTTGAGTGAACACTTTAATTGACAAATAGAGAATGCTGCATCTGCATTTGAGAGATGGACACATCCCTGCGATTTCAACAAGGTCAGGTGCTGTGTCCTGCACTTGGGCCACAACAACCCCATCCTTTGCTACAGGCTGGGGGAGAGTGGCTGGAATGGGGCCCAGTGGAAAAGGACCTGGGGGTGCTGATTAACAGCAACTGAAAGTGGCCAAGGTGGCCCACGACCCCCTGGCCTGTATCAGCCATGGTGTGGCCAGCAGGAGCAGGGCAGGGACTGTCCCCTGTGCTGGGCACTGCTGGGGACACACCTCGAGTGCTGTGTCCAGTTCTGGGCCCCTCAGCTCAGGAAGGACATGGAGGGGCTGGAGCCAGCCCAGAGAAGGGCAATAAAACTTATAGAGGGTCTGGAGGAGCAGCTGAGGGAGCTGGGGTTGTTTATCCTGGAGAAAAGGAGGCTCAGGGGACACCTCATGACTCTCCAGAACTGCCTGACAGGAGGGGGGAGCCAGGAAATTTGGGATGCTCTTCACTAAGGAGAGCCTGGACCAAAGGAGGCTCAGGGGACACCTCATCACTGTCCAGAACTGCCTGACAGGAGGGGGGAGCCAGGGGGGATCGGCCTCTTCTCATAGGAAACAGTGACAGGATGAGAGGACACAGCCTCCAGCTGTGCCAGGGGAGGCTCAGGTTGGACACCAGGAGGAATTTCCTCACTGAAAGGATTGTTGAGCACTGGAAGGGGCTGCCCAGGGAGGTGCTGGAGTCCCCATCCCTGCAGGTGTTCACTAAACAAGTAGATGTGGTGCTTGGTGCCATGGCCTAGTTGACATGATAATAGTCAGTTAAAGGTTGGACTCAATGATCTTGGAAGTCTCTTCCAACCCACATGGTTTTGTGATTCTGTGAGTTGTGATTTGTCTGTCAGAGAAGATCTCAGTTATTTCTAACTTTTCTGAACATCATATAAACAGTGTAATTCATAAGTCTGATTTGTTTGATCTGTTACATGGAATTTGTTTAGTGAACTAAAATGAAAATCTTCCAGCAGACCTTAAATGAAAAAAAACTAAGAACTGAGAAGCCAGCCCAGGAATATTTCTATAAAAGAAGGAACCTGTAGATAGTTCTGTGCTGGTGATCCCTGGAGCCTCTCCTCCCCTTCCACCCTGCAGTGTGTACACCAGGTCGAATAGCACACTACAAAATTACACATGTCCCTGTGTGTACCAGATTTGGCTTGCCTGTCTCTGGAGAGAAGGAATTCAGGCTAAAGTTAGGGTTCTTTGGAGTCCCTGATTAGGAGGAAAATTGCAAGTCTTAATTAAGTCTTTGACACAGTGTTTTGATTTGAAAAGACAGGTGTCTGCTAAGGAAGGCAGGAGCCTCTCTTGGAATGGAAAATGTAAGCCCTTTCCTTTTGAATTATTATGATTTTGAAATTAAGGGGCTCTCAGGCAATGATATGAGAATAGGAATAACAGTTCTTTACTAGTATGTATAGAAAAAAACAAAAACAAAAAACTACAACTTAATAGAAAACTTAAAATGTAGTAATACAAAACCACTGCCAGAGTGAGAATCCCAGCTGCCCCCGTCAGTCAGTCAGGGTTGGTGCAGTCCCATTCCATGGTGGCTGCATCCTCCTGCAGTGACAGATGTGGTTCTGCTGGAGCAGGGCTCCTGCACAAGGTGCAGTTTTCCTCCAAAGCTCCAAAGATGATATGGAAAGGTCTGGTTTTCCTCTGGGATCCAGTGGCAAAAGGCTGCTCTGATCTTCCAAATCTCAGATCATGTCTAGGTAGGAATGCTTGGCTCCTCCCTCTGGGAGCAATTTTATCAGTTCCACAGTGAGACTCAGTGGCTCGTTAACAGAAGAAATCTCCTAGAGGGAGGATGGGTCCTGGAAGAGATCAAGAACACTGCCCCACCTGGATTTAACAGCTGGCCTGTTAATGAAGGATATCCTCCTGCAGTTATGAGGGATGGGTCATGGAAGAGATAAAGAACACTGCCCCACCTGGATTTAAGAGCTGGTAATAGAATACATACCTCTGGTTACATCTTATATTGCAACCTAAGGCACACACGGCAATGAATTTGATAGCAGTGATAATATTGCAAATCAACAGTTTCAGATTTGTGGTTCTGGGACTCCATTAACCTTTGGGTCATTTTAACAAAATGTACATGACTTTCAATTAAGAGCAGTTAAAACCAGTAAGCAGCAAACATTTACATTGTGTGATTTAAATCTGAAATCTCTCAAATCTGGAATTGCAGACTGGTGTGTAAAGGAAACTGCTAGGCAGAGTCTTGTCAGATTAAAACTTCCAAAACTGGATCTTTCTTGCCTTATGTGTCATCCTGCTGGGAAATTAAATGCAGTAGTCTAAATTGGGCTATTTTTGTAGGTCATTTGGTGGGGCAAATAGGGCATGTCAGTAAAGATTGTGTCAGTGGTTTTTGTTTTGATAATCGTTACTGAGGGCACAGCTGAAGGAATTTGGAGAAGAGCAGTGATGTTATGAGCATCTTCATTGTCACTTCCTCTTTTTCCTTTCTGGAAAAATACAAAGTGCACCACTTGAGATTCAGAAGCTGGTTAATTTGATGTTTAGTCAGAAAACAATTTTGTGCAGTTAATGTTTGTTGTTGAATTTTTGATGATACATCAGAGATACCAAGGCAGGTTTTCTTTAAGAGTGGTAGGAAAAGTCAGGAGCTTGATCTCTTTACTACCTTCGACTGCATACTTCAAAATGGGCTCATATTAATAAAACTTCCTTACAGGAAATAATTCAGGCATGAAAGAACAGTTTCATATGAAACTGGACAGCTTCATAATTTATAAATACAATAATAAATTGAATTACAGGGGTATATGCTAATCTTATCCTTGAACCATGTGAGGTAAAATATTTACCTGTTTTTGTGGCATGTTTTAAAGATAATCAAGGAAAGTGTTAGTATGGATTTATATCTGGAATTGTTCTTTACATTTTCTTATCCATTCACTTCTTACTCTATGAAATGTAGTCTGTGTATTACAACTTAACTGACATTGTCTGTAACACTGCTTCTATGATAATTTAAATATTAAAACAGGCTATTCCTTCTCGAGTTATTCTGTGAATGGTGTCTCCAAACTCAGTAGTAATATTTGTTTATATTATAAAACTGGCTTCATATAAAATGAAAGTCAATTACAACTTCCAATTATTATGACTTGTTAATTTTGTTTTCATATACTATAGGATATGTTTTGGAGTTGCAGACAGAGTATCTTTGCTGAAATGAAGAAGAAATTTTCACAGGTAGACAGATGAAATCAACTTTATGACATGATAACCAAGAAACATAATAAGAGCATGATGCTGTAGCTTCTGTTTATTTTAACATGAGCATGAGCTATTGACATTGAACTCTGTGCATGTTCTTGAATACAAAGATCGTGTACGTATTGAATTCAGTCTTAATGGCAGCTTCAGACTGAGAATGTGTTTCCATGCTTTTACACTGGTCTGTGAAGCTTTGGCTCTCTATCTCTGCATTAAAAAAAGGGATTGGTCAGAGTAGCTGAGGGATCTCTCACTGGTCAGTCTTGTTTTTCACACTATTTCTGCAGTAAAGGAGCCCCAGACAAGGTTGTTGTTGTCTCTAGTTCAGCTGGTGTGTGTGAATGCTCTCCATGAGTAGAGTTGGGCTGAGGTTATTTTTGCTTTATCTATTTACTGCTCACAACTTGAAGTGGTGGCAGTGTGAATGAATGACAGCTTAATAGCCTTTGCTATCCTGGCCCTGAGTTAAACCAGTTCAGTCTGTCAGAATTAGATCTGTGAGCAAGGAGGAGAGCATTTGTGTGACGTGTAACATGCAGCAACCCAACCAGCAAATCTTCTGTAACCGTCTGTAATTTGTTCCCTTCGTGTTATTTCCATCCCTCAGATACTGCGTGCCTAATTATTTTCAGTAGCAGCTCTAATGCGAGTCAGAAGTGCTTCCCCATCCCGAGGAGCAGGGAAAGTGGGAGTGGGAGGAGTTGGCTTTGCAGGGAACTCCTGCAGGGAGGAGAGGAGTCAGTGCTGGTTATGTCAAGGCAGTAGCACCAGGAATTGAGTGTCAGTGGAGAGCTGCCCTCGGGGATAATTGAATCCGAATTTACTCCTGTTTGCCGAGATGAGCCTCTGTGAATAGCAATAAACGCCTCTTAACCTCCCTGCAGTGTTCTGTAGAGGAGGGTGGGCTCCCACCCAGAGCAAGCCTTTAGCACTGCTGAGGGACCTGCATGCAAATATAGCTTTATCTTTGTTGGCTCTTAGCTGCTGCTCACCTCAAAAAAAAAAAAAAAAAAATCAGGAAAGAAGACCACTGAACAAGCTTTACCTTCTCTTTTCTAACCACACAGTGAAAAGAGAAGGCTTGCTTCTTCGGCAAAAAAAAACAAAAACAAAAAAGAAAACAAGAAAAAAAGATGCTGTGCTGGGAAATTTCAAGGAAAGAGCCCAGGAGAAGTAATCACTGGTGAAATTTAATTTTAGTCTACTTAAGTACAACCCTGTGTGTCTCTGTGGGTGTGTAGATGAAAGTGAGGATATAATATGTCAAAATTACTTTGACTTCCAAATTGTGTTTTCATCTTAATGTGTGGCTAATGTTTCAGGAATAGCTTTGTGTATCTTCTTGGAAAGTAGTTCATAAATTTAAAATTCTCCCATAAAGATGAAATGTTACAGATTTGCTGCAAATGGTGCTTTGAATCTTTTTGAGCATGCAGTTAATGAAGGCTTCCACACAGGATATTTCATTTAATAAACCTAAAGAAATTGGACTCCAAAGCGTTAAAAAAAATCCCAATCAAAAGCAAATTAATGCCGTACAGGTTGGGTCGAGGGTGATTTTATTTGCCTTTCTCTAACAACTTTTTTGTGATGCTGCTAGGAATAGATGCTGCAGTCAGTTAACATTTTATTCTACCCTTGTGTGCACACTGCCAGCAGATCCTGCAGTCCCCTGTAATGAAGGCATGAAGGAATGCCGTGTTCCTTTTGCCAGGGTTTGGTGATGGAAGAGCTCCCAAAAGGGGCTGTAGCACTTTGGTGGTGCTCATCTGTGCTGTGAGGCTGGTTGTGTAGGAATACAGGGGATTCTGAAGGTGTTCAGGTCTTTGTGGTTCTGTGTTCTCTGGAAGCTGCTTGTGATGTGGCTGAGAGTTTGAGCATGAACATAATTATTGCCGTTTGTTGTTCTTATCCACTGAGAATCATCCCAGCACTGCATGTGGTTTTTTGCCTTTTTGGATGCTGTGGCCTTTATCCATGGACTGAGATTTGGGCACTCTGACAATGCATTTTACTAATGCTTCTGTGTGTTACAGCTTGAAAAGGCTGAGTCCCTAAAGGACTAATTCCTTATACTTACTTGATCTTCTCTGAGATATGTATTTAAGTTATTCCTTCTTGTTCTACAGTTTTGGATAATTAAGAGAATTAATTGATTGTGCTTAGATCTTTGACTTCCTGGGTTTTTAGTGTTGGAAAAATGCCATTTTTCTTGGCTTCCCTGGGTCCAGAAACTTTTATTATTATTCCATTGCCACTTTCACTCACAATCACTATTGTTCTGATTTCAGATACACTGAAGTTTCTATTTAAGCTCTCTTTACTTCATCCAGTAGCCTTTTGTCGATGCTAATTTTCTTACTTTGTTCAGGCAGAAGAACATTTCCAACAACTCAGACAGCAGTGGAGTTAGTGGCTTGATTATGAGACTTTTTGTTTAGTGCTCAGCTTCCAAGGTTGCTTGGAAGCTTGCAAGTTTTCTGGGTTGCATTCCTGAAAGTCACAAAAGGTATATTCTGCCTCAGCAGGATTTATGATTGTGTCAAAACAAAATATGGGCTGGAAGTGATGACTTTGAAATCTGTTCCCAATTTTGAAGCAGTCTTCTATGTGCTTGCTGGCTGAAATTCTGTGTGGAGCCTGAGCACTTTCTCTGTCTCCACACCCATACAAATTCCTTCTTGTTCTATAAAAATGGAGCTTCTTTTTAGAGATTTTTCAAAACTGGCAGGTTCTTATTTTTCTCATGCTTGCTTTGTTAAAGAAAAGTCCACTTTTAGAAATCTTAGGTTTTAAAAGTATACTATAGTGGTGAAGTTTTGTTTTGATTTTTCAGTTCAGCTCCTAACTGTTCCTCCTTGTGCTCCTGGATGGCTGTGTCTGTCCTTGCAGGCAGAGTGTGCTGCTGAGGAGCCGCGGGTGCTGTGTATAATCCAGGACACCACCAACGCCAGGACGGTGAACGAGCGCGTCACCCTGAACCTGCCGGCCTCCACCCCCCTGCGACAGCTCTTCCAGGACGTGGCTGCCAAAGTGGGCTACGAGAATGGCTCCTTCGAGCTGCTCTGGGGCAACGGGGACAGTGCCACTGACACGGTAATGGCTCCTTCGAGCTGCTCTGGGGCGGCAACGGGGACAGTGCCACTGACACGGTCATGGCTCCTTCGAGCTGCTCTGGGGCAGCAACGGGGACAGTGCCACTGACACTTCTCTGGAGCAGTGGGGACAGTGCCACTGACACTTCTCTGGGGCAGTGGGGACAGTGCCACTGACACTCTATGCAGCACTGCCTGCTGTTCCTGTGGCAGCAGACACTGCCCAGCACGGAAAACTTCCTTCTGTGTCCCTGGTGCTCACCTGATTCCTCTCATCCTGTGCTGCACCACAGCAGGCTGATGCCACTGGTTGATTTGGCTGAATTTTAGTCTCCAAGTGTGCTCTCTAATGATGCATCTGCTTAATCATTAAACAAAAACTAATATGATAGTTCAGATACAATGTTAGTTTTTGTTATCAGTAAGTATTTTTAATAATAATACCCATGATAAATAGTCTCAGTTTCCTGTGGTCTTGTTTGAGAAATGTTTTATTCTCAGCTGCAGTATGTTGGGTATTGAGTCCTGATGTTTCTTAGACCTATTTGAATAGACTATATTAAAAAAAAATATTCATATCAGTCCTATGCTTTATTGTTAATCAGTGTTGATTTTAGCTAATATTATTTCTGTGGACGCACCTAGAAAACTCCCTAAGATTTGTTAAGAAATAGACATTAGTTTATTTCAGGTCATGTTTATGCCTGCTGAAAGTAATTTTCTTTTTTTTTTAAAGAAAAAAGTGTCTGTAATGGTTCTAGAGGACTCTGGATAATGTGATGTTCACAAGAAATTTACAGACCAGTGTTTGACTCCTGAATAGATTAACCAACTATTAAGATTAACTAACTCCATTAGACTGTAATGTTTCTTAAACTGTTCCCAAGTTATTTCAGTACTGTGTGTGTTGTTTACTGGATAATTATTTATTTTCATGTGGCCTTACTGTGTTAGCAGCCACATCAAACAATGTACTTGGATGGAATCTATTATTTGCATATAGATCTGTTACTAGAAAGTGTTGTTTCTGTTGTTTTCATCTTTTTTAGCAGACTCCAATAGATCAGAACAGTGACAAAACCATTCTTGATGCTGGTTTTGAGCCAGGGAAGAAGAACTTCCTGCATTTGGCAGACAAGGATGGTGAGCAGCCTCACGTAATGCAGGTGAGTAAAATCTTCACTCACCTACATAAGCCAGTGTTGGGGGAGGGGTGTGTGTTCTTTGTAGTACTTGTGTAAGATCAGAACATGAAATAAAAGTGGGCTGAGTATTTCATCCTAAGCTTCTTTGGGAACCTTCTCAGCAGACTTTGACTATATTGACATCTATATTCACATTTCTCCCGAGTGGGAACAATTCCATTAGAAATGGTTTGCTGTCATTCTGTTCATGCTCGTCAAATATTTATGTGATATTTGCTGCAAGGGATTTTCTAAGGTTATATAATTAATCTTTGACAAATTCAGAGATAAGTCTTAACAATACATATTTAATCATATATTCAGTCCCTTTCCCCTGGGTGTTAGAAAGCAGTATTAGGCCTTTCTGGCAGAATTCTCAGAAATGGCAGCCCTGCATTGACAGCAGTTAGCTGCTTCCATATTTACCTTTATGGGAAAATAAATAAATGAAAAAGAAGAGTTGGCAGTGTTGCTAGAAGCCACTGTTAGTCATAACAAATACTTTGAAATTTTCTGTTTCTCAAATACATGATACATGCAGCTGCAATATATTCAAATCAAGGATTGGATAACCCAGTGATATATTAAGTTTTATTACTTAGCTCTTGTATCAGCATAATGCTGGCTTACTTAGCCCTTGTTGTGAAGTTTAATTACCTGAAAAAGGGGGAAAAGCCCCACATGTAAATATTTGTGCTCAAGATCAGAATTTAAGAATAATTCTGAAAAGAGTAATGGAGTGAAATTTGTATCTCTGGAAAAAATCTTATTTTATATTTCAGTGCAGGAAACTTGAGGCAAGGAGATGCTAAATTGCCAACTTGCTTGTTGTGTGGATTGTAATACTGTATTTGGTTGTGTAGTGTTTCAGAGGACCTTTCCTAAGAGCAGTGTGTCAAGGGCTTAAGAATTTGGAGGGTAGAACTAAAGTTACACAGTCTATCTGTAATTCTGAAAAAATTGTATGATGTGCCTAGAAAATTGGTTTGTTAGCCATGAGAGAAATCTCACAGGTACCTCAATCCAAACGTGTTGTCTAACTCTGCACATGGGGCTGTGTTTGTGTTTCCAGGAGGAGACAGGTACAGCAGAGGATGGTGCACAGGAGAGGTTTATAGGCCCCCTTCCCAGAGAAGGCTCCATGGCATGTACCAATGACTATGTCACTCAAAGCTACTCTTACTCTTCAGTCCTGAGCAAATCAGAGACAGGTATTGTGTTCTCTCTTGTCAAGGCAATGCTACTTTGTAATTATTTTAGCACATTTTCAAATAGCAGCACCTCAGGATTTTTTTTTTTTTTTTTAATAAACTGCAATTTATTTTAAAATTCCCACATCACTGCTACATTTTTTATTCATGTTTTTTATGATATTCTCCCATCACTTTAGAAGTGGAAGAACTGTATTCCATCCTGTCCTTACTTGGGACAGGGTTGGATCAGCAGAGTGCCCAGCTCAGGCTGTGTTCACTCCAGCTGAAGGAGGACTGGACACTCTGTTCTGGAGGGGCTCCTGCCACATCTCTGCTTGGCCTGGGAATTCCTGCCAGGGGCTGCAATTCCTCCTGCATCCCCCAGGCTGCAGGGCTCCCCTGGGGTGCTGGGGCTGCTCAGCAGGGCAGGAGGAGATGGCACATCACAGCTGCCAACACAGAAACTCCTCAGGGGAGAGGAACTGAGCAGCCACAGAGCTGACATTCATCCTGCAGCACTTCTCACCTGCTTCAGGCTTCTGGCAAATCAGAAAGATTGTCTGCCTTTTTTTGTCATTTAATATAACTGAAAAGATTATCCACATAGTGTAGAGTAATAAATAAAGTACAAATGTTCTGACTCAGTCTCTTCACAGAAAATGCCTGTGTGCAGCTAGCTGCCTTTTCATTACTAGTATGGTACTGAGATTATTTTTTTAATATATTTTTTGGAGTATAAATAGGCGTTTTTAATTTCTTTATTATACTGAGCTTCAGTATATGCTCCTCGCTTATCAGTTGTTGCTAATATTGCATATTTTGGAGAAAATCTTAAAATCACAGCTTAGATTAATATAAGTTAATAATTTCATTTTCAGCTAGAAAAAATGACAGTGTTCTAATAGTTCAGTTAGTTTTTTTAATTAGTTATTTAAGGGGGAAGGGTTTAGAATAGTAGTGTTGTGTGGGCACTTGAGACTTAGTTTTTTTTATTCCAGATTCAAAAACAATACTAAAACCAGTGCCAGTACAAATTATATTAACATTATTACTGGGATACTTTTAGCAGACATCAAGCAATAAGTAAGCTGGTGCACACTTGTTTCTTAGAAAATTCTAGTTTATTCTGTAAAATATTTAAATCTGCTATTATTTATAGTTACCTACATCCCCACTGGTGTAGTATTCAGCATTAAATATTACTTTTTGTTGTGATCAAAAAACCAGCTTCATGTCATTCAGGAGAATTATTTTTGTTATGGAAACTGTTATTCTCTATTGCTCTCAGAAATGATAATATTCCCTCAATTTTTAGTGTAAATAACAATAAATAACAGACGAATGCAGTTCTTAAACGCTATCACAGAATTGTTTTCTAGTCAAGTGTTTTAACTCTTGAAGTGATTTGCCATCTCTTTGCATTATTTCCATCTCATTATTCTCATATTTTTAGGTTATGTGGGGCTGGTAAATCAAGCAATGACTTGCTACTTGAACAGCCTTCTGCAAACACTTTTCATGACTCCTGAATTTAGAAATGCATTGTATAAGTGAGTATACAGAATCAAAAATTTCTTAAATTTCTTCTGGTTCATATTGGTAGGACACTCTTTAGAATTGCACTTGTCAAAATTTCCTTGTTTGGATACTGGAAATTGTAATGGAAGTCAAGCTGGATAGAGTTATAAATTATATCTGCTTAAAAGCTAAATTATAACTGCTTAAAAGCTTCAGCTTTGCAGTAAAATATAAGTCACTGGTTGTGACATGGATGAGCTTTTTGAAGAATCTTGAGAACATCAAACTTCAATTTGATGCTAAGTGCAGTTCATGTCTGTACAGTGAATGGCTTCAGAATTTTCATTTGTTTTCATGTTTATACATTTGAAGAGTATTATTGCCATTAACTGCAGAAGTGGAAAGCAATTGCATTTGACTTCTGCCAAGAAACAGAGCTGCAGTTAACCTGTGACATGGCAGTCCTGAAATGTAGTAAATGTTGATTTAATGCCTTTTTGAGTAACGTTTGCAAAGCAGTTTTATTTGTCAAATATTTTGTGTTGCAAATAGGTGGGAATTTGAGGAATCTGAAGAGGATCCTGAGAGGAGTATCCCCTACCAGCTTCAAAGACTGTTTGTTTTACTGCAAACCAGCAAAAAAAGGGCAATTGAAACCACAGATGTCACTCGGAGTTTTGGATGGGACAGCAGTGAAGGTAACGTGCAGCTCTTAAACTGCTCTGATTTGCTTCAGCTGCTGCTGCTGGCACGGGCTAAAGAGCCTGGTCTGGGGGAGAACACCAGAATAATTCTGAGCAATTAACAGAAACAACTTTTTCAATGGAAACAAAATTGCCTACGTGGATACTTTGTTGTGGGGTGTGTCTGATGATAAAGAAGTTGTATCTATGAGTTTTGGGCTGTTAAAGGAATAAGCGTTAAATTTTTGTAATTAAACTTCCATTACACATGTTGTTTCTAAAAAAGTAACTCTTTATAGGAAACTCACTTCAGTTTAGAATCATGGATGTCAGATGCCCATGTTACATTTATAGAATTACCCATATTATTGTCTTACTTCAAATCAAACACTGTGTTTGTCTTTTTTACACTTGTGTGGTGTAATTTTGCCCCATAACCTGTTGATTTTTCTATTATCACATGATGATAAGGAGTTGGAAGTTGGGTTTTGGGCAATTGGCATGAAGTGGGACAGAAATCAGCAGCAGTTTGTTTAATACCAGTGTATGTTAGCAGCTCTGTATTTTTCATATATTTTTGCTTGTGTACACAGTTCTTGTTTATGTATAAACATTGTGAGCAAGCTGGCTGCTTATTTTTCTGACTTAGATTGTGAGGCAGCTGCCTATGGAATTTGAACACTGGCCCAGTAGTGAATAATGCAGGCACAAACTAATGACTAGTTTTTCAGGGAGCATTCTCAGGCTACAGTCAGTATTGGGACTAATAACATCTTCTGTTTTAACTAATAATAGTTTCAATTTCTAACAGCGTGGCAGCAGCATGATGTGCAGGAGCTTTGTAGGGTCATGTTTGATGCTTTGGAGCAGAAATGGAAGCAAACGGAGCAGGTAAGCTTGGAAAAATTGTCTTCATTTGGTGGAGTAGTATTGTGTCTGTCTGTTGGGTTTTTTAAGGATTGTAAAAATCATTTAGTAAATTTTAAATACCAGCTTACTGAAAATCTGTGGTAGTTTCCAGTTTTCTTGTTCAATGCAATGGTTAAGCTACTGTGATGTATGACTTTCAAGAGTGTTGCATCTGTTTTCCTCTCCCAGTTAAAAGTGGAATATTCTGCACTCTGGATACTTAGTCTTTATTTGAAACACAGAAAGTGATTGTGTAACTCCCACAGTAATTTCCTTGCTGTCAGTATTTATTAGGCTTTGTTGTGGCCTCAAGCTCCCCCTTCTTAATGCAGGAGAAAATTAGGAATATATTCATGGCACAGGATACATTCTGATAAATGGCCACCTTCTTAGCAGTTTTGGCAAATAGGAGTAATTGGGAAGTAGTCTCTGGAGGCACAGGAAAGGACTGCAGGGTCAGTCTGTTAACAATGTGTGTAAGATCAGTTTTAGAACTTCAGTTTGATGCTTTTGTAGCCACTTAAGGCATGACTGTAGGTTTATGTAACGTGATTTGAGAAGCTCGTTTGATACGTGCTTTGGGCAGGGGAAGATGAGAAATCAGGGGATGGATGTTCTGCTGGGGAATGGGATTTTAAAGGTGTAGCCATGCAATTAAGACTTAATTGACAAAAAGGTATTTTCTTGTAAAACTAAAGAAATACAGTATTGGTCATTATTTAAAAAATCCCCGTTGTGAATGTGTTTGTTTCAGGCTGATCTCATAAACCAGCTGTACCAAGGCAAACTGAAGGACTATGTGAGGTGCCTGGAGTGTGGCTATGAAGGCTGGAGAATCGACACGTACCTGGATATCCCTCTGGTCATCCGGCCCTATGGCTCCAGCCAGGCCTTTGCTAGCGTGGTGTGTACTATTATGGTCCTAATAGTGCATCCATACACACATAGAATACATAATGCCCCAGTGGTAGAATTGGTTCCCTGGTAAGTATCATCCTAGATACTCCATCTTGGGGTGTTCGTCTTTGTGCAGTGAACCAGCTAGCAAGTTCTAGAAGATTTTTCTTTTTTTTTTTTTTTTTTGGCTTTTTAGTTTATTTTTTTGGTTTGGTTTTTTTTTCTTTTACCCTTCAATGAGTCCTACTGGTGCATGTATAAGGGGAGGGGAAATGCAACTTGATTACCTTAGCGCTGCAGTAATCAATTATTTTCTTCCTGATAAAATCTTCAGCATTTATTTGAGAGATTTTTATGAGATCACAAAGTTTTATTTGGGTGGTTCTTTTTATTGGCACATCTGCTAAATTTTCATAGCATAATTGAAAGTCTTAGTGAAAGAAGAGGACATTGACATAAAATTTTTACTTTAATTGCCATGTTGTTGCTGTGCTTTCTAAAGATCACTTCTTAAATACCATATCCTTTTAATAAGCAATTTGATGATGATTCAAAAATCCTGTTCTACATCAGTGTTGGTGGTCTCTTTTGCTCCAGCTTTACTGATGCTGGCAAGCATAACTATTGCTTAGTAAATCTGTGGAAGTTCTTTTGTTTGAGTTTTTCGATCCCCCTGAAAAAATTACAAACTGAAATTCCACAGTATACTATGGATAGAGTTGTGAGAAAGAATAAGAATAAATGAAACAACTCTTTCAGTAAAGGTTGTTTGAAACAAACACTTGTGTAATTGGCTTGTTTATTGTAGGCTAAGTATTTTTTCTTCTGTATTTAGTGTGCTGGCAAGATTTTTAAAGCACTAACAGTTCATAATTCTTAACAGTAATTCTGTTAAGAATTGTTAGAATAAATTTAAACTGAAGCATAGCTTCAAAGTACTTCATACTTTGAAACTTTAAATACCAGTCTTGAGAAGCAGTAAAGGTGAGGGACATTGATCTTGGAAAAAGGATTCAATTTAGTAACATCCTTTGAATTCTTTTTAAGACTGCATTAAAATTTTCTGGAACTATCCAGCTAATTGAAGCTGTCTTAATACAGATTGATGTTTTATACAGATGGCTTCCCTTTTCACCTTTTAACCCTAATTTCTAGTAGCAGTATTCCCTGAACCAAATTTTATTTGTTGTAATTTTTATTCAATTATTAGATTTTTCTGATCTATTAAAAGTAATGAAAACTATTCAGTTCACATAGTTTAATTCTGCATTTAAGAATGCATTGTTCGTGTGTCTCAGATGAAAAATTGTTTTCCTTAGTGGACAAGTCTGTAGTGCAATACTACAAAAAAAGACTTTGTCGATTTGTAAAAAAATAAAATTTGAATTAATAAGGACTTAAATATCAGATTACTTTTAATAGTATTTGATATTTTCCCTTTCAGTCAACATTTACTGGGTTTACTACATTGAGGAAAATAGTTTAAGATTTTTGTTACACAAACTTACATGGTTGCAACTTGTATTGATGCTTCAATTTTTGAGCTTTTTCAATTCCTACTCTGATTATATTCAGTTGATTCTCCTCCCTGCATATGTACGATGGATAGCAGATGTAATTTTTAGTTCTGTAGTCTGCAGCAGTGGGGAGATATGGAGGATACTTGCTTTTGGAGAAGGGAAAAATCGCCTGTTTCTAAATGGAATTCTCTGAAGGTAGTATCCTCCATTGATCCATAGATTTGTATTAGATGTGATTTAGTAGGTGTAGGCAAAAGGGTCTGAGAGATCAAAACCTTCACACATGCGCTAATAGGGCTTATGGAAGGGAATGGAAAACTTTTTAGACCTTGCTAGTCAGCTCCTGAGGGAACTTGCAGCAGGCGACACAACCCAAGATAGGGGATCTAAGGAGGATACTACCTTCAAAGAACTCTAGTTAGAGGTAAGTGATTTTCCATTACTTTCAAATGAGAGAATGGATGGATGAGCCTCAAGTAAGGGTAATTTATAGAATGCCATTTAAAGGGCATTATCCCACTGTTTGACACTGTGTACTACCAAAGAAATGCAGACACTTGAAATGTTGCATTTATTTATATGTGTATTACTTCTTAATACATGGGAACATTGAAGAACTGGGAAGGATAATGTCATGCTTGCTTTATTTCCTACTATAACCTAATTCTGAAATTCTTCAGTGTGGTCTTAAGGTTTGCATTTGGAATTTTTCTGGTTGCCCACTCTATCCCCCAACTCCACATAGGATAGCTGCCAACTCACTGGGGCAGCTCTGGGGCCTGGAGATGTTGTCAGTGTGAAACTCGAGATGGGATCTGAAAAAGTACTTATGTAATCTGCAATGTTCAAGGGTATGGTGTCAAAAAAACCCTGAATCAGGCTTTTCTTGAAGTCAGTAGAAATCTAGGCACAAAAACATTTGGCTTATTTCAGGGAGGTAAACAGGAGTAACAATTCACATTCTGATTTTTGTAGGTACTAGTGTCTTTTGTATAGATGCCTGAATTTAACAGCACTAGGCATAAGTTGAAATGTTTTGCAGTAAAAAGAAAATATTTTGCCAGATGAAGAGTGGAGAGAAAGGTAGATGCAACTAGGAACTAGCAGTGATACTGAAATTATGTTACTAGAATACGCAGTGAGAGTTGATTTGTAAAAAAACTAATAATGATCCAAGTATTCTGGATGTGTAGCAAATACAGTTGTGTTTTGTTTAGTGCTGTTAGTTTTCAAGATCTTTTGTACCACAGCTTTTCTTTTGAGAGTGTAAGTATGTGTACAAGTAGTCCTTCTTAGGGTAGAAATTAATTTGAACTTTATGTGAACTTACTTTGTGGTGTCCTTGCCAGACTGTTGAAGGCAGAGTATGGATGATGTGATAATTCCTTTTTGTTTTTAAAGCTAGATCAGAAACAAGGTCTTGTACTTTGCATTGAACGTGCTCTTTGAACACAGGGAAACTGATGAGCTCTGAAAACCTGAGATGGCAGTTAGTTTCTAGCTTTTTCCAAGAGCAGTTTTGCCTAAATGCCATTTGTTGTGGAACTTTTCATAAAGGTCCTACTGCTCCTGTTCAGAGGTTTTACAAATGTACACATGTACAAATGCTTGCAGTATGGCACCTGTCAAACTGCTGACTAGATCATGATGCATTTTTATAGAGGGAAGGTTCCCTGCACTGTCTCTCTTGAGCCAGACAATAATTAGGTTGAACTGTTACAGCATTTTAGTAGTGCTAAGTGTTAGAAATCTCAGAGTATTAAAAACTGGATGCACTCAGAACTTGGCTGCACAAGGCTCTGAGCAACATGCTTTAAGTTGGACTTGATATGAGCAAGGGATTAGGATCAGATGATCTGCAGAAATTTCTTTCAGCCTGTATTGTTCTTTTGATTCTTTGAACTAGAAGGAAGTTTAAATAGCTTTTGTCATCTTAATCTGTAGCTTGATCACTTATGCTTTGTTTTGAAGTGTGTGTGTAGGGGAATTTGGAAATGCTCAGTAACTCCAAGGGTAGATAATAGCTGCCACTTTGAAGGTAACTCCTAAGGTGACACTGGCTTCTGGTGGCACTGCAAGGCAGGGGGTGTGTGCTGTGACAGGCTGTGCAGCTTGGCAGTTTTGTCCCTGCTTTTGCTGAGTAAACTCAGAGCAGTGAGCTGCACTAGAATAGAAATTGGATTAAGAAACCTCCTAATCAGCAGAACTAACCTCAGTGTAAAGATCGTGTAGGAGGCAAAAGAGTCAGCCTGGTCATTATCCAGGGATTGAAAAATACATGGCTATTTATATAGCTCAAAAGTTATGGAGGTCCCAGGAGCTTCAATCAGGCCTTTCAGAGCACGGCTCACTGTGTGTGGTAAGCAGTGAAACCTCAGGAGTGATGTCATAATGCTTCATTGCCTTCTCAGGGGTCCAAAGCATCATCACTTCTTGCCTTATGTAAAAATTTATAGGGTGTTCCCTTGTTAAATTGCACATCACATAAGTCTACATAAGCATTATAAATCACTTGTGTCCCATCCCTCATATATTTCCGTTTATATTCATGTTGATACATGAGCTGCAACTTTTTTCTTACACTTGAAATATATTTTTCTTGCCTTAATTGGCATTTAGCTCACAAGGGAGGGTTCTGTCACTGTGATTATGATGTCATTATATGATGTTTTCTGATTCATGTTTTCTGTGTTGGCCATTAACTTTTTTGCTTTCCCTGAAATAGTTCTGAATAATAGTCAAAATACAGCAATGCAGTTCTTCTGCTTTCTTTTAAAGCACGTTCTAACTTGTTTAGTCTTTTTTCTTACAGTTTAGAATGAGATTCCTTACATTTCAGTACATAATCATTAGCTGTCTGTGGCCTTGGCATAAACAGCAACTCAGCCTCTGTAGCGTTTTGGAAATAAAGATATAGACAGCAGTTCACTCCTGACTCTAAAAGGTTTTCACATGTCTGGAGAGTCTCTGCCCAAGAGCTGTGGTTTCAGGGCTGTTCAAAGGCCTTTCTGGCTGGCTCAGAAATGGGAAATTCCTTCACTGTATAGTTGTTCTGTGGTGTTTGGCAGCTCTTTCATTTGTGAATAATTGTCACCTGGAACAGAGTCCTTTTTTAAAAATTCTTTCTCCTAGAACTGCCATAGAGCTTTTGTAAAATATTTGCTTTGTTTTCTTGCTGCTTGCCTCCATTCTTGGAAAGAGAGAAGGGAAGAACTGGGGTCTTTTGTGAAGAACTTGGCATATCCTTGGTTTGTTCCCAAAGTGGGATTTGCCAAACACCACAATTTAGATACCAGTCTTAAGTTCCTTTGTCAGCCATGTTAGGACTGCTGAGTTTACCCTGCCCAGTTAAGCCCCTTCTTACTTACTCAGACTTCTGGCTTGCAAGCTGATTGGGTTATAGATTTTAACCTGGAAAACCTCTGGGTAAAATTCTTCAATGAACCCATCTCAATGTAGTGAATTCTGTTTGAACAAGTTTATTCTCAAGTATTTGCACCTTAATGTGCAGTGTCATTGCTGCAAATTGTGTTAGGGAGAAGAATTATGATCAATTTGGTTGTATTTTGAATATTGTTTGTTGTAGTGAGGAGCAAAGTAGAAATCATTGAAGTCCCAGGTGTAAGCATTAGTAACAGAACTTTTGGGGTTTTTTGAACTACCCCAAACTAGGCAGCTATCAGAAGACAAAATTCCAGTTATTGCTTAGTTACCTCATGAGGTTTAGCTAGGAAACTACTTGAGTCTTTATAGGAGATGGCCATATCTGATTCTCACTCCTTTGGGAGCAAAACTCAAATACTGTCCCCTCTGTCCTTTCCCCAGCTTTCACTTAAAAATAAGATCTTCAAATGTAGTTTCCTAAGACCCTTGGTAGAACAGGACTATGTTCATGCAGGACAATGAGAAACCCAGTAACATGTTTTTTCTGCCACTTCCTCTTTCCCCCTCTAAATATCAGGTTGGATCTCTTGAGAGAATCTCCTTTAGAAATGAAGAAGAACTTTCTCAAAATTCTGGGAGAACAATGACAAGGCAGGGTTTAAAAATAAGCTAGTTTGCACAGCAGATGACTCTACAGACATGACTAAATGTGATGTGCAAGGTAACAGGAGTAAATGTAACTATTAAACCAAAGACAATTGAGATTCATCAAATACTGAAAATACTGAAGCAGAAACAGTTAGCAGTAATTGTGGATTTACTGTTTACCTTGGGCTGGGTAAAAAAGCTGATTTCTGGTCATGTTTACCTGAATATTGTGTCTGTACCAAAGTTTTTCAATCAAATTTTGGTGGTAGATTTAAATGAAGTATTTGTCTATGTTTGCAATCTCATTGTAAATGTATAGCTGCATAGTAAACACTTTTTAAAAATGGGGTAACATGTTTTTATTCTTAGGAAGAAGCCCTGCATGCTTTCATTCAGCCTGAGATCCTCGATGGCCCAAATCAGTACTTTTGTGAGCGATGTAAGAAGAAATGTGATGCACGGAAGGTAAAAACTGGTGAAATGATTTTCAAAAATTCCTTTTAATAAATAGCAATCCTGCTAACAGGAGCATAATGTTGTCCTTGTTTCATTTAGGGTCTGCGGTTCTTGCACTTTCCATACCTGCTGACATTACAGCTGAAGAGATTTGACTTTGATTACACCACAATGCACAGAATTAAACTCAATGATCGCATGACTTTTCCAGAGGAGTTGGACATGAGTGTCTTTATTGATGTTGAAGATGAGGTAAAGTATTTGGTTTCAGAGAAAAGCATTTAACTTCCTTCAAGTTTCTCTTCAAGAAAACCAAAATTCCAGTCTTATAAACCCATTTTAACAACATTATTTGTCTACATAAAATGTTCTTTAGCCATGCTAGTGCTATAATTTGAAGATTGTAAATCTGTCCATGTGGATTTATTTTTTTTTTTAATATTGCAAACAAAACGTGTTCTCCGTAGTTGGGGTTCCTGCTTCCATAAAGAAGCTGTTTCAGATTTCTTACATCTTCACTCTACAGATTTTAAGACAAGAGTCTCAGGGCTCCTACATATATACTGCAATTTCAGAATGGAAGATTTATCTGAAACTTGTGTCTGAATCTTGTTGGTCATAAGAGGTGAATTTACTGTGCTTTTTGCATTGAAGACCAAAGTAATTCCTCTCATTTCGTTCCTGAAAATATTTGCTGGCTTGCACTGGTATCAGAGAAATACTGCCTGGATGTGCATATGGAGAGGCTTTTCTGGCTCTCTACAAACCCTTGTGTTAGGAAGGATGCCATGTAGACAATTTGATTGTCTACACCTCTCCAAGTGTCTCTACGCACAGAGCATGAATGACAACGAAGATTGATCTGGGAGAATAGAACTCAGATAAAATTAACAATTGTCAGAAAATCAAAACCATTATCCAGAGGCAAGAGGATCAGGTGAGAGATGAATATACTGTGGGCTGCATTCACTGTTGGTGACACCGTGCTGTTAAGCTAACAGAACACTAATCAGTCTTACTGTAATACCTGGGCTCGGTCCAGTGAGTTGAAATGGAAAAAAAAGTCTTTGATTGACTGAAAATATTTTCAGTCAGTTCTGACTAAACAGGGCCATGTCACAACAGATTTGTTGCTTGGTATCAGACTTGGAGGTATTGATTGGGATAGCTAGTGCATGGAACAGGCTGGTAACAAATAAAACTTTGCCAAGTCTGAAAGCTGCTAATTACCCTTCAGTTGCACACAGAGCCCAGGAATACTGAAGAAGTGGACTGAAGACACAACAGAAACAAGTCTGTTCTTGGTGCTGAATTGCAGAGGTCTCTAGTTTTTGAGGAATTTAATTGCTTCATAGAGTGGATTTTTTAATTTCACAAACTGTTATTTCTAGTTCCATGTAACTTTTAATGTTGTATAATATTAGTGTGTATGTCTTATTTTTAAGAAGTCTCCTCAGACCGAGAGTTGCACTGATAGCGGAGCTGAAAACGAAGGCAGTTGTCACAGTGATCAGATGAGCAATGATTTTTCTAATGATGATGGAGTTGATGAAGGAATCTGCCTTGAAAGCAATAGTGCAGCAGAGAGGATCTCTAAAGCTGGCAGTGAGAAGGTATGATAACACTGGGGTGTGAGAAGGGTGGGCAGGAGGCTGGGAGGAAGGACACAGCTGGCAAGACTGACCTGGATTCACCACCAGGATATTCCATGCCAGATTCCCTGCTGTGCACCACCATGCTCAGCAGGAAAAACTGAGGGCTTTCCAAACTTGCTGTTGCTCAGAGGCTGGCTGGGCATTGGTCTGCTGGGGGTGGGTGCTGAGTAATGCCTTTGCATCACTACACTAGTAATTTTTTTTGTGTTTCCTTTATTTATTAAACTGTCTCCATCCACGAGTGTTCCCACTTTTGCTATTCCGATTTTCTCCACCAGCCCATTTGAGGGGAGTAGTGACTGACTGGCTGGAGGGGTCCTTTGTTCTTGGCCAGGGTCAACCCACCACAAATGTAAATTATAGAAATATGATTAATTCTGACATTGGAGGTGAGCTGAGAGGTTGGGAGTGTGTGAGTTTATTGAAATTTTTAAAAATTGACATTACAACAAAGGAAATAATCAACTGATTTGGAGGTCACCTGGGAGTAAAGGTCTTCCCAGCTTGTCAGGCTGAGAATTTCCAGCAACTTTCTTTGGCAGCAGACCCTCAAAGTGAGCAGCTGTCCTGTCTTGTGAGCAGTGTTTTTACTTGTGGCCAGCTGCCAAATGCCCACCAGATTTAGCTGCTAAAGCATCTTGCAGATTAGTAGGAGAAGATTGGGAAGTTTTTGATCAGTGATATGAGTGAAGCCAAGGGTCTAAACGTTAAATATTCCTTCAGTCCTCTCAATGTAAAGGGATTAAATAGCAAGTCAGTCCAGGACAGCAGCCATCCTACCTGGGACATCAAGGTTGGTAGAGATCACTGATAAACTTGGTTGAGTTTTCATCAAATCTGGAATTTTATGGTAATGTCTACAATGTGTACTTCATGTATTGTTCAGTGAACTCGTGTGAAATTAGGCCAGTAGCTTCCCTCCAGCCTTGTTAGGACACTGCTTGGCTTCAGCTGGTACTTCTTTTTTGAACTTTCAGTTTTAAAGGCTGACTTGCAGGTTAATCTCCACGTCTGGCCCTGTTTGTAGTTACCTTGAACTATTTGAGAGGGCTTTTTCGTGTATGTTCTGAATAGTGTCAGTCTTAGTTGGAAATGATGAAAAAATGAATTCCAGTCACTTGACTGGAGCAGGACCAGAATATTTTAATGTGTCTGTAATGCAAGTGGGATGTCCAAGTATTGACAGTAGCTTTGGCCAGTTATTTCATACTACTTGTTCTCAAGGCAAACAAGCTGTCAAGCCAAGCTTTTTGGTTTGGATATCTTAGTAGTGGATGTGAGATGGACTGTATGTTCTCAGCATTTGTTCTACATCGTCTAAAAATATCCTTGTAACGCTTGTGAGTCAGTATGGTTCAGTTTTATTTTGTAGTTTAGATGCAACACTGAAGGCATGTGCTTAGTGCCCTGTGTTTCCATCCATTTCTCTATGACAAAAAAAGTGTATCACAGCAAGTGTAGAGATGGATGACAGCAAATAGAGCTCAGCTTTGTAGCTGCAAACTCCTTTGTAAAGTTCAGCATAGCAGAGCTCTGGTTTTGTTCAGTTCCTGTTGCATTAATTAATTCCTATTACACAAATCCACTCTTTGCATCCAACTATTTACATACCCGAGTTTGTGTCCTTGTTTTGCAACTTTTTAAAATTACCATTTGCTTAGCTTTTTTCACTGGATGCATATAACACCTTTTTCTTCTCTCCACAGAGTTCTTTACTGTATGAGCTCTTTTCTGTCATGGTTCATTCTGGAAGTGCTGCTGGTGGCCATTATTATGCCTGTATAAAATCTTTTAGTGATGATCAGTGGTACAGCTTTAATGATCAGCATGTTAGCAAGGTAAAAATAGTATTTTTAGTTATGTTTTCTACTCATAAATGGACTGATAAGTTTCTGTTTTGTGGTTTTCCACTCAGCTGCCCATAAAACCAGCTTCATTATATGTATTTCAGGTATTGCCTTGATTTCATCCTCTCATCCTGATGTCCTGCCATATGCATACATTCCACTCATTAGCTTAACTGACTTCTAGGGGTTTGAAGATTTTTTATTTATTTGTCTATGTATTTTTGTGGGGTGGGGAAAGGAGTGTTTGTCCTTGGCAGTGAGGGTGGGATGGTTCCTAAAGAAACCTTTATTCGTGTACAGGCCAGGCTGGATGTAGAATTTTGCCTTCTGTACATGTAAAGAACACTTCTTAGAAAAGTGTTTGTAGGTCTGTTACAGCCCAAGCTGTGCAGCTGATGGAGGTGTCCCAGCTATCATCCATAGGTACTATTGCAATCAGGAACCTGGCTCTTTTTCTCCAAGACGTTCCTGCTTTGAAAATTAAAAAAGTATGTTTGTATTCATTGTGAAACGGAGAAGCAAATCACAAGTTTCTCAAATAATCATTACATTGATTTTCTGTTAGATAACTCAGGAAGATATTAAGAAAACATATGGAGGATCTTCTGGAAGCAGAGGCTATTATTCCAGTGCTTTTGCTAGGTTAGTAGTACTATAATGTTACTTTTCTTTCTAGTAGTGTTTTAGTGTAATCAAATGAATGGCCACAATGCATGGCCTAACATGTTACCTTAAAATTAATAGCAGATGCTTCAGGTAGTTGTAAGAACTACCCTGACTGCTGTTTCAGATCATTAAAATAATGTGATACTTATTTTTGAAAATCCTTCTTGGTTAGTGTATTACTTAGATATGGCATAGCTTCTTACTGAAAGATAAAGAAACCAGAGCAATATTGTCTCCAGAGTGATAAATTCAGCTGTCTCTTCTCATCCCCCAGCTCCACAAATGCTTACATGCTGATATACAGACTGAAAGATCCAACAAGAAATGCAAGTAAGTTAGACAGCTGTATTTGCAAAAGTTGGGGGTTTTTTAAACTTAAGTGTTGCATGTTGTGGTTTTGTTTCTTGGTATGAAACAGTGTCATAAAGCACACTAATCTGCATGAAGTGCAGTATTTATTTTATCACAATATAGATGATATCTTGAGACTCTTACTATCAATTAATTCCCCTTCTAGAAGAGTATTTGCATTTATTGTAATAAACAGGATCAATGCAGTCATCAGCTTTAGTGTATTTCTTTACTGCAGACAGCAAAGTTTCCATACTGATACTGGAATCTTCTGCTACTGTCACTTTCTTGTGTTGCTGGTAGCATAAGTAAGGGGAATAAGAGGCTGACTTCAGTTTAATTTAAATAATGACAAAGAGAACAGGGCATGGTATAGTGGGAAATTTGTGTGGAAAAAAGGGGTGAAAAGGGAAGAAAGGTAACTCAAATATACCTGTAGTGCCTAAAGGGTTGCCTGCTGCAGAAAAACTCTATTTATTTAAACTATTGCTTTATTTTTACTGGCAGAGTTTCTTGAGGCACATGAATATCCAGAGCACATTAAACAATTGGTACAGAAAGAGAGAGAATTAGAAGAACAAGAAAAGAGGCAGCGTGAGATTGAACGCAACACGTGCAAGGTAAGAATTTCTGCTGGACCGAGTAACAATACATTGCTACTGGGAAATGTTTCTACAGTAAACAGTGGGTTTTCTACAATACAAGGACTCCTTTGTGAAAAATGTTTGCACTAACAATTCTTTTAAATGAATTGCACACCTGTTGGAAACCTGTACATAGTGCAGGCGAGGGATTCACCAGACATTTTTGTTGAATTCATGTATTGCGTGTGGATTTGAATTGATATTAAAACCAAAACAAAATTAGTTAATCTGGCATCACTTTTTCTCAACAAAATTACTTCTAAAGAATGTGTAATGCTGCATATTAGGTGTTTTGTACAGTTAAATCTTTTCATATTGGGACCCTTGACTTTGTGCAATGTTGTTTCTTAAACTAATTCTAAATAGTCACTTGGCAGAAAGAGCAGAATTTTTTCCAGCTCTGGAGTCAATAGTAACAAACAAAATAGGACCTCAGTGCCTTAAAGCATGGCAGTCAGCTGCTTTATCTGTGAATCAAGTGATTGTTTCATGAGGAAGTTCTCTCATTGCAAAATGTGTAACTCTGTGTGAAAAAGGAATTTCACATTCATTGTTCTTATGTGCATTTTGCTTTGGAGCATTTGCTCACTGCCTGTGGCTACAAGACAGTGTGGTTATAGAAGGTGTACCCTAGCTGGGAGAAAGATTCAGATACACACATTTACCTCGTGTGCCTTTCACATTTTCTGTCTGCAGCCGTGTAACAGCTGGGAGGAAACTGTCCCACAGCTGAAGCAGAGCTGAAGGTTTATTTCATATTAGATGGCTTGAATATGGGGTTTGCAACTTAAAAGCAAAGACATTTGAAAATGCCTTCATGATCATTTTTCTTCCTTTTGTATTTCATAGATTAAATTATTTTGCATGCATCCTACAAAGCAAATAATGATGGAGAACAAATTGGAAGTTCATAAGGACAGAACACTGAAGGAAGCTGTGGAAATAGCTTACAAGGTATGCCATGCATAACAGGATAATTAAATTGTTAGATGTAGTGTTTTCTGCTGTGTGTCTTCAGATTTTAAATTTGTAATACTGTGGGAGTGTTTGAGAGGGCTTGGCTGTGGGGTTTTTTGGGGGGTTGGTTTTAGGGGCTGGTTCTTGAGAAGTTCTGTATGATGGCATTTTTTTGTTCTGGTTCTTTTTACGGGTGTTCTAGTTTGCCATTGTTGCCTAAGTTTTCTGCCAGTAGCCATCAGGTGATTGGAGTGATGCAGCCTGCCCTTATAAAAGGCAGTATTGACTGGCATACCCTTATTTTAAAATCAGACAATGAGAGCTGCTGTTAGACCCACCATGGCCTCAGAAATTGAGAGAATTCTGAACACTTTCATTTATGTGGCAGTAAAAACCTTGTATTAGATATGTAATAACAGAGTTCTTGAGAATCTTCCTGGGCAGCTAATTCAGTAACAGAAGTGAACAGCAAGGCATCTGTTATCTCTGCCTCCCACAAACAGGTGGGAGCTGAGGACATCAATTCTTGCTCACCTCTTCTGCTCTTTGGTTCTTGCCATATGTGTTTTCGGCTGGGAGAGGACCAGCAAGGCACTTAGAGATTTGGGATGTGCTAACATCTCTTTGAGATGCACTGAGAGTAATAATTAGTGGATGTGACTCTCTCAGACCTCTAAGATGCCAGCTGGTATAAATGCTAGGCACTCTTTTCCTCTGAGGATACTTCTAGGACCTGTCTTCATGTGCCTGTGTCCATACTTTTCAAAATTCCCTCTCTTCTGCATTTTCATGCAGGCTTCTATGTGATTTTGGAAACATGTCTATATATTGCATGTGTATAAAATATCTACAGTGTGTTTTCTAAACCCGAATTGACTGTTTTGCATTCGGGAGGGTTCCTGGATGTGCACACATCCAGTGCACACAGTGAGGTATTTGTAGCTTGCAGGTTAGCACAGAGCTCACAGCTGAGGGTGTTACTGATGCTGGGGGCTGTGTGTGTGCCCGTTGCAGCTGATGGATTTGGAGGAGGCTGTTCCCTTGGACTGCTGCCGCCTTGTCAAGTACGATGAGTTCCATGACTACCTGGAGCGCTCCTACGAAGGGGAGGAGGACACGCCCATGGGTTTGTTACTCGGAGGGGTCAAGTCGACATACATGTTCGACTTACTGCTGGAAACAAGGAGGCCTGACCAGATTTTCCAGTGCTATAAACCTGGGGGTAAGACATGCACTTACATACATGCTTTTGGTTTGTCCTTTTCTATATTGTGTGGTGGCACAAGCACAGAGCTGTAAAACAGCTTCAGTATGAGGTGTTGAAAGAAGAAAACCTACATTTTACATTATGTGCTATGCTGCTGACTTGCTTCTAGTTGAAGCAGGTCTAAGGTATACTAAAATCTGTCAAACTGGAAGGTTTTTTTCTTTTTTGGCATTAAATTTGATCAGAAAATGTAATTCTGAAATTGGACTGCTTTTCAAGTTCTTAATGTTTGTGTTTAATGCAACCCCTTAATTATTGCATCAGACGAGCATACGTGTGTTTTCTTTGCCTGATGAATTTTCTCTGTGTATATATGTGACTTTGTTTGCTTTTTTCTCCTCCCTGCAGAGGTCATGGTAAAGGTTCACATAGTTGACCTGAAGACTGAATCTGTTGCTCCTCCAATAAGTGTGCGAGCCTATTTGAACCAGACAGTTTCAGAGTTTAAACAGCTAATTTCAAAGGTAATTTACAGTCCTTAAGGACTTGTCTTAAAGAGTTTTCATTTGTTGTGACTGTGAAATGTGTCATAATTTGCATACCTAAAATGAGAGCCCTTCACTCATGCTGTGAGTCCTGTCCAGTAGGGTACAGTTAGATGCCACAGTTGAGTTTGTCCACTTGTTCACTCCTGGAAGCAGCAGGCTGCTTCTTGCTTCCATCCAGAGTTAATATCTGTAACAGCCTCACTCAAAGTCCAGCTGGTGACAGAACTAGTGAACTGTTACCATGCAACTGGATCAAAGTGTAACTTCCCTGTCAGCTTTAGCATTTGACATCTAACATCCAAAGCTGTTGTCCACATTTCTTGTACAATCTCTTTTTTTCATCCCAGCAGCCACTTTTTACTAAGATGTAAATTGATTTTTGCATGGCTTTAAACCAAGGAACATTACTGCTTCCATTGCATTGGAAGACAGAGATTGCATTTACTCATTCCTTTGTAAAATAATTCACTGGTTGATGTAACTCCATAATATTTGTTATAAAATATTATTCCAGCAATTTGAGTTCAGTCTAAGAATTAAGTGAACACTGTGCAAAACCTGTTGTTCGAGAATATTTTTAATTTTCAGTTGGTTCATACATGAAAGATAGGACCATTGTCATAAATGATTTTCCAGCTCTCTGCAAAGCCAGCTCATTTTATGCCTCTGACCTTTTGGAAAAACTGACACTTGCTATATATTAAAGGGTGCAAGAAAGGCACTGGGACTGAACAGATTTGGGGGGCTCCCCCTGTGTTCTCTTTTGCAATTTCCAAGCTGATGAACAAACCTGCTGTTTTCCCTGTGAACAATCCCAGAAAGGAAGCACTTTTTTTCATTTGGAAGGTGTGTGTGATGCACATGTAATGTCCCTGTCCTGTTGCAGGCCACACACCTGCCTGCCGAGACCATGAGGGTGGTGTTGGAGCGCTGCTACAATGACCTGCGGCTGCTCAACGTGTCCAGCAAAACACTGAAAGCTGAAGGCTTCTTTAGGAGCAACAAGGTACATGCTCTGGCTTTTAAATCCTTCATTCCTTGGGTTTGTGTTTGCCTCTTGTGTTGTAAAAGGCATAGAAGAGCTGTGGAGTTGATACTGGCTAAGTGTCACATGTTTTGCTCTGTAGTGTGGGGGGTTTCTGGGCCCAGTGCAGTGGTGCTGATAAATACTCCAGGCTATGTAGGAAACCAAGTGTGGAGAGAGTGGATTGAGAATCAGACATCTGGCTGTTACTCTGGTTCAGATGATGCTGAGCTTAACAGCCTTGTGATGAAGACTGTTAAAAGTCAAGCATTCTTAGGGAGCAAAGATTGATGTATTACTATGAAGCCTGTCTGGATGTGTTGCTAAGCCACCTGAGCAACTGTACCTGCTGTGAGTATTAAACTTATTCAAAAAAATATATCAAAACTAAAAGCAAGTTTTTGGTGGGTTTCTATCTTAAATTCAGTAGTTTTCACTATGAAGATTCCCCTGGACAATTTCCATTATTTTTTCAAAAAAGACTTCTAATAAGTATTTCCAATAATAATTGTGTAATGCATTCAGAAAAAGAGTACCTTAGTACTCAAATAACTAACATTTTAAATGCATACATTGCCCTTTTTTACTACAGTAGAAATAGCACATCTTTTAGTACATTTTGCACATCCTCTGTCTCTGAAGTTGAAGCTCAGTATTAAATCTTCTTGATGAAGAAAGAGTAAAGAAGGCTTTGATGGCTCACAGCTGAGCAAAACAGTGGCACTGAGTTGTTATTCAGTTATTTAGAGGCGTTTTGTGCCTTTTGACAAAGGGAAGAGAGACATTTGATTTGCACTATTGCTTGCACATGTATACATTTAAAGCCTCCTTATGGCACTGTACTAGAAAATAAAGACAGTCTGCTGCAGTAATGGGGCTCATTGCTGTCATAACAGTGCTGTGCACAGGTGAAGGGTGCACATGGAGTGATTGATGAATCCACTTCTGAATGTGTTCCTGTAGCTGGTCAGTCTGCTTACAGTTCACTGCAGTCTTAACGTGGTTATGAAAACAAGGAAAAGTGAAATCATTATTATAATTACAAACTCCTCGCTCTATCTTTTTCTAAGCATGTGTTTTAACACTTTGATAAAAGTGATATTTCTCAATGGCATTATTTCTCATGTGTGCTAACCCTGGCTTTGCTGTTGTTGCATTTATTTGAAATAACACTACATGATACAGCACGTCTTTCCTGTTCAGGTGTTTGTGGAAAGCTCCGAGTCTCTGGACCGCCATGTGACGTACACAGACTCTCAGCTGTGGAGGCTTTTGGATCGCCATGCAAACACCATCAGGCTCTATGTCTCCTTGCCAGAGCAAGCTCCTGGCTCTCAGCTCAGGAGGGCTCTTTATCAGAAGTCTGCTGGGGCTGCGGGCAACTTGGAGGAACCTTGTGAAAGAGTAAAAGGACCTGTAGGCAATATGAAATCCGTAGAGGCAATTTTGGAAGAAAGCACTGAAAAACTTAAAAGCTTATCCCTGCAGCAACAGCAGCAGCAGGAGGGAGATAATGGAGACAGCAGCAAAAGCACAGAAGCCAGTGATTTTGAAAACATTGAGTCACCTTTAAATGAAATAGACTCTTCAGCATCAGCAGAAAACAGAGAACTTGACAACCAGATTCAGATTTCTGACCCGGAGAACCTGCAGTCGGAGGAGCGGTCGGACTCGGACGTCAATAACGACAGGAGCACGAGTTCCGTGGACAGTGACATCCTCAGCTCCAGCCACAGCAGTGACACTCTGTGCAACGTGGACAATGCCCCCCTCCCCCTGGCCAATGGGCTGGATTCTCACAGCATCACCAGCAGCAGGCGATCAAAAGCCAACCAGGGCAAGAAGGAAACCTGGGACACAGCAGAAGAGGATTCTGGAACAGACAGTGAATATGATGAAAGTGGCAAGAGCAGAGGAGAAGCACAGTATATGTACTTTAAATCAGAGCCCTACACTGCAGAGGAGGGTTCAGGAGAAGGGCAAAAATGTATGTATTCTTTTTGAAGTGCCTTAAAATAATTCTGTGGGTTTTCCTAAGTCTAATGGCAGTATTGAAAAACTTGATTATAATGTCAAATTAAAGCTAGTGAAAGTGCAGACAGGATGTGCTGTTCAGCAAAAATCTTGCCTAATTTTCATCTTGTAATAAGTGATTACATGTTTGAAAAGTGTCTTGCTCTTTTGTTTCCAAGAAAATGAACATCTACTTATGCTCATTGATAGTGTTCCCTGGAGAGCAACCTGTGTTGTCTTCCAGTGAAAGGATCATAGCTGCATCTGCTGCTCATGATTCACCTGTTTCAGAATGCACTTATTGGATGTGGTTAAAAGAGCATATTTCTGTTAACCATTGAGACTAACAAACCTAGTCATTTGACTGTAAAGAAAATTCAAATTTACTTGATATTGACAATTTAATTCACTAACTGAAATACAGTGGGTACAGTGAGGCATATGACTGACATGAAAGTGTCGAAACAAGTTCAGTATAAGAGCCTAAGTGGTATAGAATTGTCATAAAAATAAATAATTTCGTTAATGCTACATACCTGCATGTGCTTTATAACTAATAGAATAATAATTAAACAATAGCAGGATGCAAGATAAATATTTTGAAAGGCAAAGGCCTTCATGTCAATCCAGAAACTCTGTTTGTAATAGTAATAGATAAAGAAGAATTTCTCACAGAAAATTTGATTTGCATCTACTAAAGCTTTGATAAAATTACTCCTTTGGCTTGGAATGGTCTTTTTTGGGGGCTAACTCTGAACTGCTTTAATTTTTCCCCGTTTTGTTTTGGTAGGTCTAGTTGGATTCAGGAATTACTTTTTTGCACTAATTTTGATGTTACCATTGTACACTGTGTAAACGATTGTCGTGAGGGGAAAGCTTTTATTTATTCTTAGTATAATTCAAATAATTTATTTGTTCACTTCAGTATTCTGAATAGTTTATTCTAGAGTGTCATGACATTATATAATCACAACATAGTTTGTAGTGTAGTACAAATTACATGTATTAAGAAACACAGTTTCTAAAGATAAATTATTCCCTTTACTTTCCAGAATTTCATGTTACTACAGTTTTTCCTTAATTACAACATTATTGCATGAAAAAGCCCCTTAATCTGGATTTGAGTTTGTCTTGATACCTTGTGGCCTTCCAGAGCATGGAATTAACCTTTTCAGTGCTGAAAGCCAGGAAGAAAAATAGAAGTGGTTGGGTGACCTGTGCCTGGCCAGTGCCAACACCGAGACAATTCCCTCTCCATTGAGGGGAAGCTGTAGGAGGATTTCCCTGTACAGCAGGGAATGCTGTAGGAGAATTATCTGCAATTGCTCCATGGAATTCAGTTTGTTTTCTTTCTGAACAGACAGGTACTGCTCTGCTGTGCTGTGTCACTGAATGCAAACAAGGGCATTGGAACTGCCTGTCCTCCAGAAATATCTACCCATAAACACTTAAAATACAGCAGAGCTTTTAAAGGTTATGATTACATAACCTTTAACATAACATAGATAAAATGTGCATGTAGCAGTAACCATCATTCTGCCTTTTCAGTACTGTTTTGTTAAGTGCTAACTCTGAATATATGGAAATTGTATGTGAAAGTGCTTTTTCATACCATTTTTATTTTTATTTTTGCTTAGGGCTGATGGTGCATGTTGATAAGAGAATTACACTGTCTGCCTTCAAGCAACACTTGGAGCCTTTTGTTGGAGTTCCATCTTCTCACTTCAAAGTCTTTAGAGTCTATGCCAGCAATCAAGAGTTTGAGAGTGTTCGGCTGAATGAGACCCTTTCATCATTTTCTGATGACAATAAGGTTGTTTAGAAGTTATTTTGGATCATTGAAAGTGTACTGGTACAATATAGATAAAGTTAATTTACAGCAAGTGAAATAATTATTTCGGTCTTGGTAGCGTGTTACAAAATACAATCCTGATTTTGATAGCAGTTCTAACAGATATTCCTTTTGCATTCTAGATAACTATTAGACTTGGGAGAGCCCTTAAAAAGGGTGAATACAGAGTTAAAGTCTATCAACTCTTGGTAAATGAGCCTGAGGTAAGGCATTGAATGTTTCAAGACTGATTCATGAAAATATTAATATGTGCCTTGGCCAAGGTTTTGCTTTGAAATCTTGGGATAAAATGAAACTCCTTTTCTTCGCATTTCTCTGCAAGTTTTCCTGGATTTAGAAAGGGAGTTTGAGATGATTTCTTTTCCAAATAGGCAATTGGAATGTGATTTACACTGTCTCTCAAGTGTCTTTATTTCTGTAGTGTAAATGGAGGACAAGTGAATTGTTTCTTTGTTTCCCTTAAATGCATGACAGTCACGTAGCATTCTCTCCACAGAAGAAACTGTGTTTGCTCGTGGCTGTGGTTTTCAGTGATGCTGAACTGATCTAATTCATCCCATTCATATGCTGCAGATTGTGCTTGTCAGGGGGGTTATCTGGGTAATGGGCCCCTCTGCATAAGGCAAGCCTGAAACAGAAATGCCTCTGGTGCAGTAAAGCAGCTCATAAGCTTGTTACATCTTCTGGGACATGAAAAATACAGAAGTGGGTATACAGACTGTAAACTGGATAGATTGCAGTCTTTGGAAGTTGACTTTTATTTTATTTTTTGGACAAAACTGTAGAATATGTATTAGTAATGGATAAGAGATTAAGCTGAACTGCTAAAACAGGGAATAAGATAAATTTAAAAGCAATTTCCATGTAGTTATGGAGTTGTGTCTGATCCATGAAAGCCAAGAAAGTGGCATTTTTATGATGATGTGGCTTATTTAATTGGAAAGCTCCTTTGCCATTGTGTGGATTGTGAATGTAATGGTAGCAGTTAGCAGCCCAGCACAGGCAGTCAGAGGATTGGAGTGCCCTGCCAAAGGGCTGTGCTACAAAAATTAGTTACACCCCATTTTAGTGAATTCGTTGTCCATTTTGTTAATGAGAAACCTTCTACTGATCTCGTTCCCAGGTGGATGGGACTGGTCACAAAGCATAAACAGAGTAAAAACAGAGGTTTGTGTTCAAAAGAATTCTGTCTTTAATCTCTTTCTGTTTATGTTCACAGCCATGCAAGTTTCTTCTAGATGCAGTTTTTGCTAAAGGAATGACTGTCCGACAGTCCAAAGAGGAGCTGCTTCCTCAGCTTCGAGAACAATGTGGCCTAGACCTGACAATTGACAGGTAAACTTAATTAAATATCATTTTAAAATATGTATTTGGGGATTTCCTTCCTCTTGTGGAGAAAGAAAGCAATGAAAGAAAGAGAAATTGCTGTGGTCTTTGAATCAGTTTGTCAATACAAACACTAATTCAGCAATTCTTGGCTTTCAACTCATGCAGAATGAATTCTATAGGGGATAATATTTCCATGGAATTGCCTGTGTGCAACATGTCTGCAGCTTTAGATCTCTCTATTGATGATTTCCTTCAGAAAGGCAAACATTAGGTAAATCAACTCTTAGAAAAGCCACCTGCTCTCTACATGCAAGCCCAGCACAGATCACTGCAGCAAACTGCTTGTGCAGCATCATCCTGTGTGTACAGCACTGGTCTGGGCTGTCTGCCCGCTGCCATAATTGGGTAATCCCCAATTAGGAAACTGTTTTCTTCCCTTAAATCCCTACATATTTCCTGCATTGACCAAGTGGAATACAGACTTGTTTCCCTTGTGCTTATGAATGGTTCAGCACTGAGCCAGCAGTGACACCCTGCTGTCAGGACTGTTTCAGAACATGAAACTTGTTCCTGTTAAACTTCATCAAGCCTTGAATCAATGAGTTGGAGTATTTCAGTTTTGTCAGAAAACACTCAGTTTTGATCTCTGCCAGTGCTAAGTGTTCATGTGCAGATAAAACTCAGTGGGGGTTTTTGTGATGTATTTATAGGTTTCGCCTACGAAAGAAAACCTGGAAGAATCCAGGCACTGTATTTCTGGATTATCATATCTATGAAGAAGATATCAATATTTCCAGCAACTGGGAGGTCTTCTTAGAAATACTTGATGGTAATGATTTATTTTTGAATTAGTATTGGTGATGACTAGGTGCAGATACATTACACATCTGTATAATTTAAGTTGGCACAGCAGTTCAGTTTTTTAGTAGTTTTCAGACAGGAATGAGAAAACACTTCTGTCATGAAGGAATTTGGAACAGAAACTTTAGTTCATCAAAACAATTTTGGAATCAAATATTAGAGAGCAGAATGTTTCTGAAATTCTGCTTAAATATAATTTAAATTATGCCATTTCTTAAGTATTCCTTTGCATATACACTTAAAATTTTGATTCTGAATGCAAAAGCATAATATAAGGGTAAGAAAAGTAGGCCGTGCTCTTTGACCTACTGCAGTTAATGTGCAGATGAAGAATGTCAGTTCCATTCACTCAGGAATTTTCTTCCCAAGCATATCCAGTTTAAGAAGTCTCACTTAGCTATTAGTTGAGTATTTTGGCAGCTGTGTTCAATTCTGGTATTTTCAGTTTTAACAGAATTGTGCAATCCAGGTATCAGAATTTGAAATGAACCTTGGAGGTTCCAGAGGCCTGCAGATTCCTATGGACATATGTATCAGTTCCCACTACAGTTCAAACTTAAAAATTTTAAACTGTGATTATTTATTATTAGAATTAGATAATTGCTGTACTTTTCCTGTAGTGAGTAAGCCTTGGAGATACAGCTTTAGACACTGCAGCCCACCTAACTCACAGATTGTAGATTACAGGACTTCCAAGTGTTCTGCAACAGTTTAATGCAAAACAAGAATATAATGTGAGATGTAAATGTCTAAGCCACACATTTTGCATGCTAGATGATAAAATTATAGACTAATTAAAAATAAAACTAGCCCTTGGATATCACTTCTGCTTATCTAATTGTAATATAAACAATATTGCTCCATCAGCCAGAGACAGCTCTGGAACCTGGAGCAAGGCATAAAAAGGCTGGAGGCAGCACATACTAAAACTCTTGAAGGTGGTGGGTGGGAAGATTTCAATAACAAGTGTGGGGTTGATGAGGGAAATGTAGAAGTTAAAAGGGAAAAGCTGGTTTTGGTGAAGGAAGTGAAGCACACGAATCAAGAGCAGATGGCTGAGGAAGGTGTCATGCAGGTGCTGGATCTGGAGTCAGCCTCTGCTTGGCTGGATAGATGTGCTCTGATGACTGAGCTGGCCCTTATGGAAAACTGCCCTGTGCCTTCAAGGAGATCCTGTCCATGAAAAATTCCTTTAAAGGAGCTGATAACAGAAAACTTCAACTAAATCATAGTCCTTTCCTCTTCCCCTTTTCTATAAGTGAACTGCTTGCAGCATACTGGGTTACTTAATTTGTGCATGTATGTCTAGGGCAGTCTTCTGCATTAGAGTGTCTTTGGGCTATGGACAAACCCTAGATTAAAAGAGGATATTTTGTGATATTAATACAAAAATTTCTCTTTCTTTGCTAGGAGTAGAAAAGATGAAATCCATGTCACAACTTGCTGTTTTATCAAGACGATGGAGGCCGTCAGAGATGAAATTAGATTCTTTCCAGGAAGTAGTACTAGAAAGCAGCAGTGTTGAAGAATTAAAAGAGAAGGTAAAATGTGTAGCATGATTCAAGTTTTTTGTGATGACCAAGAGCCTTATTGATGTTCTCTGGTGGGAAGCACAAACATGTCATAGCTCAAAAAATCCTGTGTGTGGTTATTGTATTTCCCCAGAAACTGATAACCTATCCCATCACCAAACCACATGAATTACCAGTTCTACTTCTTAGTTTCACATAATGGTCTTGTCTGAAAGTATTCAGGTGAATACATGAAGAAAAAGTCACATCTTGAAGTCTAAGCAGCTTAATAGTACCTGTGTCCCTTATGCTCAAAAAACACACAGGAAAGAAAAGCTAAGTTATTGCCTCTTGGTGTTTTTTCAAGCTAATGCTTTGTTATTCCAAAGTACCAAACCTTTCAGCCTCCCCGTATTTGAATTTGAGAGCTGTTACTGAGGAGTGGTGTTGCTGTAATCAAGTAGGTTGAAGTATGTTTAGGTTGAAAGAAGTGTGGCAGTGTTATGGTTTGGTTTTACTTGAGGCCAGGATGCTCTAACAGGTAAGCAGAGCTGTGTGATGCCAGCAGAAATCTGGAGTAGGAGTGTCTGCTGTTGAGGCTGTTCTGTTATTTCAGTGTATCACTGAAATGTTTATTTATACGTGGCAATACCCAGTTGTTAGGAGGCCACCTGAGATGTTGAGGCCAGTAAAAATGCTGGTGTCAGTGACCCTGAGAAATGATAAATTAGGGGTCTTAGTTCACAGGCTGGGTTTGTGTTTTACACAGGTCAAGCTATGGGCTGCTTTCTTGCATTCCTCAGGTAGAAATGAAGTTAAAACTACAGGTTCTTGCATGCAGTCAAGAATTCCTCCTCACTTGTACCTGAAGAAAGAGTTGACTGCCTTTGTTTTCTTGCCTTAAGAATTCCCCGATGTGCAGGGAGCAATTTTATTCTTTGAAGTTCTAGGAAGTGCAGGTGTGTGGAGGTGGGTCTTAGTCATGCGTATTTTGCAGCTGTGCCTGCTCCCAGGGTGACTGGATAACAGCTTCCATGTCACACAGGGTTTAACACGAGGCACTTGGTCTCTGTGTCTTGGAATTTGAATATTATTAATTAATTGTTTCTATGAAGTTTTTTTTGTCTCCCCTTCAGTATTAAGAGAAGTGTGATGAAATGCTGTCACAGCAAGCGTCACTTGTGACACGCACTGGTAACTTGAGAAATGTTAACAATGTGTCCTTGTCACTGTGATTTTGTACACTGGAGGACTTGCAGATAATTGGACTTCTGGATTTGGCAGCTATTGACTTTATGTAGACACTGTGTAATGTTGCTTTGGAACAGTATTAAATCCACCATTTCTCTTCACAGCTAAGTGAAATAAGTGGAATACCCTTAGAAAACATCGAATTTGCAAAGGTAAGTAAGATTCTGGGTATTTTTATCTTAAATGGCACAGATGTATGATGATGAGTTTTATTGCATTCACTAAGTAATTGCTTTCTTCAGGGGAGAGGAACTTTTCCATGTGACATTTCCATACTAGAGATTCATCAAGACTTGGACTGGAATCCGAAAGTATCTACACTGAATGTCTGGCCCCTGTACATTTGTGATGATGGTGCAGTAATATTTTATAGGTATGTATTTTGTTACAGTATAATAAACCACACCAAAAAAAAGCTGTGGTTAACATTTGTGGGGTGATGTAATGGATAAGAACATAAAATACTCTTGACCTTAAAGACATTCAGCTGAAATATTTGTGCTCCTCAGCTTCCTAAAAGTCTGAATATTAATTAACTTTTAAGAAAATGAGCATTGCACCTTTTTACTCAATACTCCCTCCTAAAGCACTGAAAGTAAAGGTAGTTGTTATACTTGAGTGTGGATCTGGATTTAATTTCTTAAGATAGAGCCATATCCCACGTGGAGTTAGTGAGAGTCTTCCTGTAGGTTGTGGAGAGCAAGAATTTTATTGTCTGAGCTTATTCCTTTGAGAAATTAGTACGGATTCTTTCTAAAAAGCCTGTTATGCTAAAAATTCTGTTAATGTGAAAGATGTTGATCAGCTGGTGGCAGTAGCCCATGGCAGGAGTTGAGGACTGAGAGCTTCAGTATTGTAATTTCTCCTAAACTGGGTGGGTGGGACATGGACACATTGCTGTGGCATTTCGCATAATGGCATGTGAGCTGAGGCAAAACAGCTGGTTAATAATGTGCTGGTCCTGATGAAAATGACTTGGGAAAACATCTGGTAAGGACTGGCTGACACACTGCTTCCAGATGTTGGCACTGAGACCAAAACAGAGCAGAGCTGTGGTTGTCTGTAAAGAAGAGTGAGAAGGATTGAGGAGCATGGGCTTGTTTCTTGTCCTGTCTGTAGTCAGGCAGAACACTGAATGTTTCTGCTGGAAAAGCAGGTTTAGACACGTTGCCTGTTCCTGCAGAGTAAAGCAATCCCTGAGAAGTGTTATGTTTAGCTGTGGTTTTTACTAAACCACAAAGCAAACAACTAAGAAAAAAAAGCAGAAGTCTGCTTGTGGTTACTGTATTGATCTGAATTTGAACCTGTGTTTACATTTTAGGGATAAAACTGAAGAATTAATGGAATTAACAGATGAGCAAAGAAATGAACTGATGAAAAAAGAAAGCAGCAGACTCCAGAAAACTGGACACCGGGTAACCTACTCTCCCCGTAAAGAAAAAGCACTAAAAATTTATCTGGATGGAGCACCAAATAAAGATTTGACTCAAGACTGATACTCGCTGTAGCATTTTCCCTGGGGAATTTTTTTTGTTTCCAATGCAAAGGTTCACTCCGGCCGTGTAGTGCCATTAGGCAGGACATTCATTAGGTGTAACGCTGACAGCAGCACGGGCGGGCGGCGCCGGCCGCGCGGGGCCCGGGCACCGCCGGACTGGAATCATGTTGTGCACTAGAGTCACATGTACTGTAAAGCTCCAAGGGATGTGCAAATAAACGATTAGAGCTCAAACCTGGGTGGGGAGGGAAACGAGTGCAAATTGTTGAGGACAGTGTGCACATAGTAGCTAGTGAAACTAGCTTCCAACAGGATACTCATAGCTTAATAATAAAAGCTGTGCAAAGGCCATGAAAGAATCCTTTTCTCTGTTTGTTTCACTGATACACGCATTACCTCATCAGAGAGTAAATGTTCACACGTTGGTTCTAGGAGAGCAGCGGGAAGGGCTGGGCGGGGGAGTGCTGCACGTGTCAGGATTTCAAGTATTCTTCCATAAAGCAGGGGTCTGAGAGGTGTCTGCAGGAAGCTGCTGGCAGGCAGCTGTTGTTGTTTGGGAAGTGCTGTTGTAAGGTAAAGTGGTTTTTAATAGGATACCGATGAGCAGCTCTAGTGTATTGCGTTCGATGTGTAAATAAAATCTGCCCTATCCATTTACCAGAACTGCAGTTCAGCTATTTACCATGCTATTTCTTTACACATATCGACATGCATTGTGTACATTTGGAAGTATAGTTGCCTATTTAAATTTGTATTCATTTTATGTTTGATGATGCTGGGTACTTTAGGGTTGTACTTCCCTTGTTAATGAAGTTTTTTGTTCTGTTCTGCTACTTTTTGTACATTTTGTTTTTAAGACTATTACAAGTTTGCATCTTCTTCACCTGCTGAAAGTCAGTTTGTTTTTCCCAGAGTTGATTCCATAGCTATATGTAGTCAAATATTGGGGCAACCTCTTAACACCTCAATGTACGAACTCGGTAGTTCAGGCTGTGGTGCAAAGACTGATGCAGTCAACATGATTTCATTGCAAAGCCTAGGAACAGCAATTCTTTGCTTTGGTCCATAAAGATCAATAGAGAACAATTCTCCATAGTTTTTGGAAAAAGAACACCTAATTTATAACAAAAGATTTTGGTAAACTTTTTCATGCCAGATGCTGTTTACAACAATGAACATGCCAATAAAACATTTGTTCATTCTGTTGTGTTACTTTAATCATTAAATGCTGTGGTTTTTATTTTAAAAAAGTATGGAATTGTTTCATGGAAATACAGACTTCCCCAAGGCAGTGCTGGAATTGCAAGGCTGTGTGTTTTGTGTGTATGTGCACACCCCCTCCATGTACACGGTGTTACAGGAACTGGTTTAGAGCCTGGCTGCTGCTCCTCTTTACATTCACACCAATGTTTTCTTCAACTGTGAGCTTCCTTTTCTAGAACTGAATTTCTCACCCATGAAGCCTCCAAGTTCCAAGTATGAGTGGCAGCTAAATTCCCCTCCAGAAGGAAAGGGGTGTTCAATAACAGAACCTTCAGTTCTTCCTTGCATGCTGGCCCACAGCACCCTGGAAATGCTGAGGAATCTGGCAGCCTGAGAAGCAGGCATTGCACAGAGACATTCCCTCATTATTCCTCTTTTGACTGTTCTCTCTACCTCGGCCAACATCTGTGAGGTTGGAAGTGGGGGCAAAGGGAGCAGGGAGGGAAATGCCATCCCCTAGGTAGGGTACTTCATTAAACTTTCATTTACCACAGACAGAGACTTCTAAAGCATCCTTAGAGCTTTTGGAAGAGAGAAGAAATTACTTATCAAATGGATCATGACTTTTCTTCAAACTCAGACATTTGGAAAGGCAAAAATGTAGAGATTAAAGCTGGGGGTGGCAGCACCAAGAACTTGGGAGGAGAATACTGTCCTTAAGAGGGCAGTATTTACAGACAATTGCTGCTCTCCTGGATAGGCTTTTAAACAGGAAAATTACAGTGGCACTTAATTCCTTTACTTTGTGTAGATGGGGCTGTCACTGAAGCACAGTAATTTTATTAGGAATAGAAAGGAAGGGTAGACTCAGTGAACTCTCAAGCAATGTCTGTGTGTGTGTGTTGGTGTGAGAATGGCTCACAGAATCCTTACACCAAAACTCAGTTACAATGAAATATCCTCCCTGTTTACAATGACAGTGGCTACTAATTAGTACTTCTGGTAACCAAGGAATTCACTGAGAAGCCTTCACACACCAGAAGTGGTGAAAATGTGCAGAGTGGTAGCACAGTCCTACACCTGCTCCTGTTGCTGGTGCTCTGCTCTTCCAAACTAGACATGAGCAGTAGGGATTATTTGGGGAGAAGCACCATGAAAAGTTACTTGGCTGGAACCTCACATCTTGTTTTACCATGTGCAACAAGAGATGGTGAAATCTGTATGCCAGAAAACCATTTATAGTGGAGGACCCATGGTAGCAAACTGGTGAGACAGCTGGGGAGTTTGGGGGGTCAGTTTTACTCTTAGCTTGCTATTGACTTTTTTTAATCAATGACCTTTTAAGATGGCAAAAATAATCACATCTTGTGACATGCACAGATTTATGCCTACGAAGTGTATTAAAAGCACAAACCAATTCTAAAGAAAAAATTAAAATTCCTTTAAAAATTCCTTAAAATCTATGACTGCAATAGTGTCAGAGTAGATGGTTCTTACCCTAAAGAAATAAAGCAACTCTGAACGTCAGTACTCAAAGGTCACTTCTGTAGCTCCTAGTAACTTAAAATTATTTATGCTTGTGTGTATTTTTTAATGAGTACAAGTACTAGGAAGTTTATTTCCGACATACAAGAGGAAAGTACAAATCCAGAAGAGCACTGCCATGGTTCCCATTAGGCAGAAGGTTTGCTCCAGGGCCTGAATGAGTGCCACAGTAGCTGGGACATGCAGGTTTGCTGCACAAAGATGCTCCTTGAAGACCTTGTTTATTGCACTTCTATCCAGCAGTGTGTGTTCAGGGTTCAGAGAAGCAAGACACTAAACAAAAAAATCTAGAAAGAACTAACTAAACTGGTGCTTGGGCTTTAGATTTCATCTCCCAAAAGCAGCTCCTGAGCTGAGTCAGGCTCAGGCTTCAAACCTGCTTGGTCCTCCAGGCTTTCCAATTCCCTGCGCACTTCCTGAATGACACTGCTTTCCTCATAGTCAGAGAGGAGATCCTGGGGGAGCAAGCTCAGGAAGGGCATCTCATCCATGACTAAGGGATCTTCTTCTTTTTCAGTGTGCTGGGTTTCATTGGCAGGCAGCTGACACACAGATGTAGTGCTGTGGCTGTTGGGAAAAGGCACATCTGGTCATACAGAACATACAGTACATCATTCTGTGTTCTTCTGCCAGTCTGTGGAATTCTCCTTTCCCTCCCCACAGGAAAACATGTTAAATGCACCATGGAGCTACCCTAGCTGACTTCACAAGCACTTGAGTCTTACATGCCTGACAGCTGAGATTTATAAATGTGATTTCCACATACAGCCATCCTAACAGCACAAAATGTTTGATCCTGGTAAACAAGAGAGCAGTGGCCCTCAAAAAAACAGGTAACAAAAACCTGTTACTTGAATCTTCAAATTCAGATAGAAAATTCGGGACAGTTCAGCTATATTCACACCCTAATTAATTTCTGTGTTTCTGTACCCTCATCTGAAATGTTGTTGTTCTGACTAGCCCTGACATTTGCTGACAGACCTCCCTGAGGTTAATGGCACATTAACAAAGATTTTGGTGCTGAAAGGATGGGATCAGCTCTGCTTGCTTCCTCAGATGACGTTTATGAAGCAAAATGTGACCCAATTCCTTTTCAAGCATGAAGAAACATAGAGTTGGACACAGAAGAGAGAAATATTAATCTGCATCTCTATCCCAGCTATGATGTTTTGTTGGCAGTTAATATGATGCTGGTAGTGTAGGAGCAAACTTGGAGAATTTATTTCACAGAAAACATAGGTTTTCTGAAACAAAACCGAAATGATCTCACTTTCTGCCAGTGAAACTGCTGACGATGCAAATAACTGCTTTTAAAGAAATATTAGAAGCATGACCTATGAAAAGTTTGTATTAAAATTTCTTTAACATATCTTACACTCTAAAGCAAGCAGAACTCTGACAGAAGCCCAGTCTCACATAGAGTTGGTGGACAGGGACTGTATGCAGAGAATGAAATTGGAATGATACATCTCAACAGCTGGCAGCACTGACTGATTAAAAAGCAGTAGCAGCCTCATTAATTCACACACTTCATTCACACTGCAGTAATGTGTTGCCAAACTCCATTAGGCACATCTGTGTGGGGCAAAGCAGGGGCTTCCAATGCTGCTGATGAGAAAAGCTGTCCAAACCTTTTCTAGTGAGGCAGAACCTGCGAGTTCTGTAGCTCTTGACCCCAGAAATAAACCCCCCAAAGCTCCAGGCTGCTTGGTGCTCACCTGTGGGGCTGGCAGCTCAAGCCGCTGGCACAGGGGCAGTGCTCCAGCACTCCATCAGGCTCCAGCTCCCAGCTGATGAGGTTGAGCAGCCTGTTGGAAGGGTCATGGCAGGGCTCCCCTTCCTCGGGGAGGGGTGTGCACACAGGAAACAGCAGCTCTGCAGGCCAAGGAAAGGCATTTTAGAAATAATTTTAGCTGTCTGCCCAGCTGGGGTGACCCCGTGTTTAATTCTGTATGCAGGATATAAAAAACAAGCTCCATCCCTAAGTCCCCTTACAGATAGGGAGCCATGACCAAGTTTTTCCCACTAGGTGGGAGTAAGACATCTGAAATTCATCCCCAACGAGCAGCATCAGCAGGACTCAGAGACTGCTGTGAAGGCAGCACAGCACAGCTCCAGCCCTTGGAGATCCCAAACACTTCTAATCCCAACAAAACTAACATCACACGGAATCCTTTGCAATGAGCAGCATTAATGGTTTGAAATCTGCATAGAGACAATCCTCTCGTTCTTAAACTCTGTTATTTTTTTTTCTATTTCTTTGCAGAGGCTGCAGATACAGAGCAACTGTTCAGAAATTGATGAGGTTACAAGAAATACAACTCAGATATTTAATTTGTTTTATCAGTTCTGCTGTGGGCAAAGCTGTCTGATGGCATCTAGGGCTTGGCACCCCCATTTCTACACAGGAATGAATTTCAGCCTGTGTAAGAAATTATTTAAGAAGGCTGTGTGTCCTTTGGGCTTCCTCATGACAGTAACTGCCAGTCTCAGTCTGGAATTCAGCTCTTCCAGATGTTCCTATAAAACCTCCCTTCCTCCTCTTGTCTTCAGTCACCTCATATAGCAGGATAAAATATGAGAAGAATTCAAAATATAAGTTTTTAAACCAGATTTGGTCAAAGGACAGATACGTGTGTGTGTATGCACAGACACATGTGCTTTAATGTACAAGAGTTCCCAATTTCAAAACATTATATACTGAGCAGCAATACTCCACAGTTTACTACAGTTTTATATAAAAATACACATCTTTATAAGGATATTCATTTGCAATACTCCAGAGAAAGGCCTGACCTGAAAAACCCTAAAGCCCTGCTAAAGCAGACAGCCATAGGGAAAAAAATTCATTGCTATTAATCAATAGCACTATTTTATGTTTTAATAGGAGTATTGTGTCAATAGTCATCAATGTTCTTACCTATTGATTGTATTATATATATACATATATATATATATATATAATTTTCTCAATATCTTGTTCCTTCCTAACCAAACTCACTCAGCATTGAAGATGCACAATGCAATGCTCAACATCCACATGGGGAAGCTGAGCAGATCCTCTTCCCTTTGCAACGGTGCTGGAGCTTTCTGCTTTGTTTTCCTGGGATGCCCTGGTCCACCAGCAGGCTGAGAGTGGGGCAGACCCAGCCATCAGCACACGGTCTGCTCTGGCTCACAGCAAGGAAAAAATGCTCGGGAAATATGGACCTGGTGCAGGGAGCTGGAATTGTGTCCTGTCACTGCTGAAAGAAGGTGAACTGTGATAAATGCAGCGAGGGACTGGTGGGTATAAAGCAGTGCAAGAAACTGGACCCAAAGCAGACAGGGCTGGGGATTGATTTCAGGCCTGAGACCTTCTCCTCTGTGCTCCCTTCTGTAAATCAAGTTTCACATTCCCATGTGGGCTGAACATGATCTGGACATCATTCCCCTGTGCCTCTGGGTCAGCACTGCAGGGTGTG